AAACTATTAAGATTTTCTACGTATTTAACAGAGAAATGAAATTGAATGACTTTAAATGACCATCTGACCATGTCACAGGTGCTATAAATCCTTGACCATGAAAATATATTTTTAGACATCATAATTCAAATTGGAAGTTGTTTAAAAGCCGATATATTGATAAGTATAGGTTTTGCGTGGCAGCCATTTTGAAATTTAAGATGGCTGCCAGAATGACCTCGAATGAAATATTGTAGTTCATAGTAAAAAGTTTGAATTCTGAGAGCCTGGGTAGGATTCTAATGTAAAATTTGACAATTACGTAATTTTAAAGATACCATACAATATTTGACCTTGAATGACCTTACTTGACCCATTTGTGGCAATCTGACCAGGTCAAAAATGATATGATGGTATTCCTTGATCATATAAACATACTCTTAGACATTAGAATTATAATTCCAAGTGGTTTAGAAGCGGAGATATAGATAAACATAGGTTTTATTAGGCAGCCATTTTGAAATCCAAGATGGCCGCCATAATGACCTCGGATGAGGTGGTTCCTACCAAAAATTGAATGCTATGACCATAAGGAGCATGTAAAAAAAAATTGGTGCTTTTGTCCGGAACGTCCACATTAAGTCCAAATATGGCCCTAAGCTGCCGTACTAAATATTTTGTACTGTAAAATTACGCCAGTTTATAAATGAACATTACGAACTCCAACGTTAATTAACGTAAATATTGATTTTGACCTGTTAAATTACGGAAAACAGTAATATGACGACGTAAAATTAAACAGCAAACACATTAAATTTACGAATTCATCGTATATTTACATAGCAATTCCTTTTCTTTATTACTACAATACTTAACGGTTAAGGTAGGTAAATTTATACCAATTTGTAGCTTAAATTCCGAGCTCTGACATTAAAACACAATGGCGATTTTATCCTGTAGAAAAACGATATGATACCTGTAATTTAGGCTACAACAAATCAACAACATCGTATTTTTATTATACAAGATACCGTTAAAATACAATTTTACGGTAGTTAACGTTATTTTCACAGTAAATTGGATTTTAGTAAACGTAAAATAACAGACACTTTTTTACTGATAGTAGGATTACAACGGCGAACGTAAAATTACTGAAAAATGTTAATTTTACCCGCGAAGGTGAACCGTTATTTAACATGGCGAAGTGTGAGTTCAGTCTCATCATTGTTATACAAAAATACCGTTAAAATTCATAGTACTTGTTAAAACAATATTTTGTACTGTAAAATTACGCCAGTTTATAAATGAACATTACGAACTCCAACGTTAATTAGCGTAAATGTTGATTTTGACCTGTTAAATTACGGAAAACAGTAATATGACGACGTCATTTAACCGCCGAACACATTGAATTTACGAATTCACCGTATATTTACATAAAAATTCCGTCGAAATACACGGACGATTTTTAACCTGTAGAAAAAAGATATGTTACCGGAAATTTACAACAAAACACCAATCTATCGTATTATTATATAAAAAATACCGTAAAAATACAATCACACGGTAGTGACCCTTGTTTTTACAGTAAACTTAATTACGGTAAACGTAAAATTACTGACATTTTTTACAGTGTGTGTACCATCCATGATGGCTGCCATAGATTTAGCCAATCAAATTTAGCCTAAGCGAAATCATTTGCAGTTGCATCCTCAACTTACACAGAAAGTTAAGTACAGCTAGTTTACCCGTATGTTTGAAACTTGAGCGTTGCGGTGTATGGGTGTAATGTACAAAATTTTAATTTTCATTCCTTGCTAATTTATTTTTGAATCAGCGAATCAATAAATCAACGTGACATTTATTTCACCAAAGACAACAAAAAACACATATAATGGGTGAGGGACCAGTTCAGAAGCCTAGGCTTGTCTCCACTGTCCCTTTAACAAATACAAAGACAAACATTCAAAAAAAAAAAAAAAAAGAAACAAACAAACAACAAAAAAGAGTATAAAAGTACCTATTGATAATTTAAGATAATTTCCTTTTTTAGGAGTTTCCTAAAAGTAAGTAAGTATTTGATTTTTTTAGTTTACTATCAATATTGTTCCATACCTGCGGGCCATAGACACAAATTGAGAATTGGCTTTTATTCAGCCTAACAAACGGAATACGAAGCCTATTACATTGCCTTGTCCAATAGTTATGAACATTACCTTTGTACTGAAATAGATCCTTAAACACATTTGGTAACATTTCATGGGTATGTTTATACATAAAGCATCCTACTTGTACCTTATTAATGTCAAAAATATTCAAAAGATTATGTTGATAATAGTGGTTCAGCATTGCACCTTTATGGTGATGATGTAATTATACGAATAATTCGTTTTTGGAGGTATATATTTTAACAAGGTTTGAGGGATAGTCACTTCCCAATATAATATTACCATACTGGAGGTAAGGCAAAATTAAATTAAATTGTAAAGAGCGAGTAAAACATTTGTAGGGAAAAACTGTTTGACTCTGCCAATTACTCCTATCGATAGAGATTTTTCTTGCAATTAAGTCAATATGAATTTTCCAGTTAATATGTTAATTTAAAATTATACCCAAGAATTGAACTTCTTTCTGTTGAGCTATTGCTTTACCATTGATTTTAAGACAATTGTCAATTTCAGGGCATTTCTTCTGAGTTGGATGGAAAATTACATAATTATTTTTAGCAATAAACAATAGTTTGTTAATGCTGAGCCAATCAGATACCTTTACAAGTTCATTGTTTATATTAGTTAACAGTTGATCAAGATTATCTCCTGATAGGAAAACAGTTGTATCATCAGCGAAAGATACCGTTTTAAATACATTACTAACCAAATGAATGTCGTTAACATAAATTAGAAACTGCAAAGGGCCTAATACTGACCCTTGTGGTACGCCACACGTTATGCCTGCGAGATTTGATTTATTTGAGTTAACAATGACATATTGTTTCCTACAACTTAAGTAACTAGAGAACCAATGTAAAGCAATACCTCTGATTCCATAGTAATGTAGCTTTTTAAGCAAAATATCATGATCAATAACATTCAAAGGCCTTAGAAAGGTCAATAAACACGCTGACTAAGAATTTCCTGTTTTCAAATCCTGTCGTAATGTTGGCGATAAGATCCATAATGGCATCAGAAGTCGAATGGTTTTCACGAAACCCAAATTGGTGATCGTTGAGGATAGTGTATTTATCTAAAAATAAGTATAATTTGGAATACATAATTTGTTCAAGTATTTTAGAAAATATTGGTAAGATAGATATGGGTCGATAATTTGTAAAATCATTATGTTTACCTTTTTTGAAAATTGGCAATACTTTAGCAATTTTCAGGTTATCTGGTACGATACCTTTTATAAACGACTGATTAATAATATAAGTCAGTTGTTTTTAAATGGATTATGCAGAGCCTTTGCCACTTTTGACGTTATGTTGTCGAAACCTGAACATTTGTTGGGATCTAGTTTTCGTATCAAGAACATCTTGTTCTATTAACAGGTTTTAAAAAGAAAGAGTGGCAATGGTTGCCAGTTAAGTAGTCGGATGGTGCAATTTGAACAGTAGGCAGAGTAATTGATTTTACAACCTCTCGACCTACGTTTACAAAATAATGTTTAAAAAGTCAGTAATATTCTGACTACCAGTGCATTATTATAATAGAGTGTATCTGGAATAGCATGTTGGGTTCCTTGAGGCCTTATCACAGAGTTGATAACATTCCATGTTTGCTTGATGTTACCTTTTGTTTGTTCAAATTTATTAATGTAAAACTGTTTTTTGGCAATTCTACACACGTTAATAAATTTGTTTTTAAACCGAGTATAAATTATTTTATTATACCTTTTATATAACACATGCTTCCACTGGCTCGATTTTACCAAGCCAGGTCTCATCCAGGGTTGCTTACTTCTTTTGGTACTACGAGACCTATTTCTATTACATATATGTTTATCATGTACACTTCTATAAATGTTATAAAAACAGTTATAAGCATCACTTGGATCACTTTTTTGATAGACCACAGACCAGTCTATTAGAGTTAAATCTTCATTAAAAGCATTCAACATTCGTTCATTAACTACATATTTGGTTTTATGATGTATTTCATTGCTCTTATTTATTTTAACAGGACAACCGATGTGGAATATCAGAAGATGATCAGATATGTCAGTTATTAGAACACCTGATACTTGTAGAATATTATCATCAATTACATTGGTAAATAAGTTATCAATCAAATTAGCAGAGTTGTCCGAAAAATACGTGTAGGTTTAGATATCAATGGATAAAAAGTGTTTGACATAATATTTTCAATAAATTCACCAGTGGGGTTGTGACAATTATGATTAAGTAAGTTAATGTTATAATCACCCATTATATAGCACTTTTTATTTTCATTGTTTATCAGATACTCAGATTTTTATTGTTATCAGATACTCCACTTGGCCTCGTTTTGGCTACGATAGTTTAATAATTTGTTATTACCATTACTTATTATCATTAATGAAATAATAGTCAGTCAGAGGGTTTATTTATGGTAATAATATGTGTACTAATCCTGAAGGTGGCGCTTTACTACAACGGCCATCTTGGACGGTACACATACATAACTCTGCATTGCTTCGCCATCTTGTCAGCACTCTAGTTGTTTAATAGCTCTATGGTTGTTATAGACGGTAATTGCTAAATACAGCGAGTTCAGCCGAGGGGCGTGGCTTCGTATGTTAACGTCATGGATAATTTCAGCTTTAGTTTGTTCTCGAGATAGAGTTATAGGCCAGGGTTGCCATTTGGCCTTTTTGATGGCCAGATTCCTCAAATCTGGCCGTATAAAAATTTGCCTGGCCGTAACGTTTCAAAAATCACGGCCAAAATATATTTGCCCGAATTTGGCCAAATTTTTAAAAAGTTTACATTTTTTGTTAGCTTAAATTCTATATTTGATTCTAATCATGTGCCTTTGTTTGTACTTACACTAAAGGCTTAACCTAGGCCTGTTACCCGGACCCCTTCAGCCGATTGAACGTAAGAGGGTTTATTTAAAAGATAACAGTTGTTCGGATGAAATATTATTATTTCATATGAAGTTTATCCTCATTTAAGCTTTATGAAGGCAGTTCAATGCAAGTTTGTACCATATATTGTGTGTGTTTGCATATGTTCCATCATAGTGGAGGTTCTATCTCTTTGGAATCTCTTTTGAATATAAATTAAGTACAGTACTTTAATTAATTTATTATTGCCCACATGAATTGTATAGGCCTAGGTGCTGCAGTGTTCTTTATGTAGAACTCGTTGTGATCATTCGGGTCTGATGGCACCTCCAATTTCAAGCAAGCGTTGTGCCAGAGACTTCTTCAAATTTACTCTAGAGTTAGGTTGTATATGAGAATGAAGAAGATAATTCTGATAGCAACATTGATATAATGTTTTAAGTACTGCGACAATAACATTCAGAGGCGAATTTAGAAAGTTTAGATATAAAGTATTTATTAAAGTTTTTATAGGTTTGTTTTAACGCCAGTTTGTGTTACCTGACTATAACTTAATTCACCGCGGATTTGCAAATAACAGACCCTTAAATGTTTTGCTCTAGCATAGTTACCAACCTGAGAGATTTGAAATGTGTGAGTGACTACACCATTTGGCTGAGGGGGGTTCCAGAGGCGGAGCCCAACTGGGGTGGAGAGGGCGTGGCCCCAGGCGCTCCGACGATCTGAGCATTAAAGCTGTTTTAAAACTATTTCAGGGAGTGTATCTTGACAATAACGGTGACATAAGTAAAAATATGTTTAGTTTCAATGTAATTGAGCACCCGAACAATGTTGACCTAAGCATTTCACTGATAAATTTTTAGTAACGCATCAGTGAAACAAATATTCACATAAATATTAAGTACTCTCTAATGACTCAATTACTGGTACTGGTACTTGTAGCCGTCTAATTTCAGACATTCGGCAGCAGCCATTGACATTATGTTGGCGTTAAAAGACTGCATATTGTGATGAAGGACCTGTGTACAAACAATTACCAAACACAAAAAATATGGAAAACTGAATGTTATTTACAAAATATTCTATTTAATGCTTATGGGTGAAACTTTCTTTGATAAATTGGCTTCTATTCAGTTGAATTTTTTCTGCATGATTATTTATATATATTTTTAAATAAAACCAAATTCTTTTAATTTTAAATACATCTCCCCTGAATTCGTGATAATTCGTTACCACGCATAGATTTGTGCTAAATGCGTGACAAATTATGGATCACGCATATGTTTTTGCAGGCTGCAAAATGTGTGTTTCATCCAAAATCACTTTGAAATGCGAGACAGTTGGTAACTATGCTATAGATCGACTACAATGTACCTTAATATTTAATACATTTAAATCAAATTTAGATCAATCTTAATAATGTGATTTTAAAAAGCAAAGGCGGATTTGGGGGTGGGGGTGAAAAAATTTTTTTTTTAAATTGATCGCCCAAACGCATCAGAGGTTATTTTTGGGCGTCTAGAAAACAAAAATTTCTCCAAGATGGTGTTATCTTTTTCGGCCCCGGACCCTCCCCCTTTCGCCTCTGAATTGGCCTACATGCCAGCAACTAACTAAAGAACATAGGCTATTTATAATGATGCAGCTGGGCATGTATTTTATGGTGATAATTAAAAGATGAAAAACAGTGAAAGTTTAAAAGGGGGGGGGGGTGTGCGGGGATGAGACAAGTGGCCATATTTTGCTTATTTAACCTTTCCTGAGTTCGGGAAAAATACTTAAAAAATTCAAAATTGTTGAGATGTAACGATAACAGAAACAAAACATGATATGATGAGACAGGAAAATCAGGTGAAAACGAGGCTGATCACTTTTTTCAGTAGCTTGGTAGCATTTTCTAACCAACTCATTAATATTCAAGACCAGTCTGTCAATTTTGGCGAGCAGCAGCTGATCGAAAAATCGTCCCGACGATTGAGCGACTAGCCTAGACAATACATCACTAGTGTGAAGTCTGATTTTTTTGTGATTGTTTACGTACGCAGTTACAGAGAGACGGTTTAGTCAACGTCAATTCAATCATGGAGGAATAATTCAATTGAATTAATAAACGTATATCAGACCGATGACTTGTTTGTTTATAATTAGGCCGGTGTAGGACCGGTTCGGCCGTACACTTGTTCGGCCGTATGATATTCATTGCCCAAATAAGGGTTATTGTATGGAACGCCGTGTAGTGTATAATCAAAGCGTGAATTGGATGTCACTGTACTGTACAGTGCAATGTTGACCGTGGGTTAGGTGGTGGTTCCAGGGAACCTTATAATAAAAATAACGATTACTAATAAAAATGTGTTGTTTGTTTTTACTTCTACTGGTGGTACACGGGAACCTAATAATAAAAATAACGATTACTAATGAAAATGTGTTGTTTGTTTTTACTTCTACTGGTGGTACACGGGAACCTAATAATAAAAATAATGATTACTAATGAAAATGTGTTTGTTTTTACTTCTACTGGTGGTACTGGTGGTACACGGGAACCTAATAATAAAAATAACGATTACTAATGAAAATGTGTTGTTTGTTTTTACTTCTACTGGTGGTACACGGGAACCTAATAATAAAAATAACGATTACTAATGAAAATGTGTTGTTTGTTTTTACTTCTACAGTACTGGTGGTACACGGGAACCTAATAATAAAAATAACGATTACTAATGAAAATGTGTTTTTTTTTTTTACTTCTACTGGTGGTACACGGGAACCTAATAATAAAAATAACGATTACTTATGAAAATATGTTGTTTGTTTTTACTTCTACTGGTGGTACACGGGAACCTAATAATAAAAATAACGATTACTAATGAAAATGTGTTGTTTGTTTTTACTTCTACTGGTGGTACACGGGAACCTAATAATAAAAATA